TATTGTTAATTAACCTACATAAAATGGAACCTACACGTCATAGGATGATGAAACACAAAGTTAAAAGTTATTGTTTGAAAAAGTTACTTTGAAGAAAACAAAATAGGACTACAGAAAAATATAAAGGAATAATACTCTCACTACCCCAGATCCACCAGAAGTGTTCATTGTAGAAGGAGCATGAACACAAATATAAAGGAAACAGCGGGGCCAACACCATTCATGGGGTTAGGAAGCTAGGCAGCTGGAGGACAGAGATGAGAAGAACACTTTTCATTTGGTACATGTTTATGCTTTTAGAATATAAACCTCTTTAAAAAAAAACAACACTTTTTTTTTTAAAGATGGACTTCCAATTTTGGTAGTGACACTGTGGCAACTTCTTTCTGAATTGTTCCACTTCTTTCCTAGAAACCACAGAAAGCCACGAGGACAATGAAACAAATACGTGCACAAGCAACAGACTTAAGATTAACAACAAGAAAACCTACAAACTATGAAAGTGTAGCTCGTAGCACCTGAAAGGAGCGGAACTGCTTGTGGAAGCTATAACAGTGTGATGTGGGGGAATGAGGCATGTGCAGGGGACTCAGTAATAGAAAGGCTCAGAAATATACTCTGAGATAGGAGGAGGCAATACACAGAGTTGGAACTACTGTGAGATGAGCTAAAACAAACAGGCCGTGGATATTGGGGTAGTTATCAAAAGGTCACACAGAAACTGTTCAGAGGGTTCCAGAAAGCACCACCTTCAAAATATGAAGAGAATACCCAAGAAGAGAGTTGTGTCTCTTAGCAGAAGCAGATATTAAAGAAAGGCAGTGAGAGCTCAAGTGATTAGATCCTGAAAGGCAGAGGAGCAATGGATGCACAGAGGCACTATATTTTCGCTGTAGCAAGAGAGAATAGAAAACTTAAGCTGAGAAACCTGGAAAGCAACTACCAACAAAAACGTCCTGCTTACAGTTGGTCCAAGACAATTCAACTCCTTAAAATGTGGTTAAAAAAGGGAAACAAACATTCAGCACTATAAGAAAACTTCTTAAAAAAAAAAAAAAAGAGGAGAACTTCCTAGTACATAACGGAACTCACAGCAGAATACAATTAGAAATTCACCAAAAAATATTTTGCCAGAGAGTACCTGAAAAATACAATGCAAAATTATTTTTGTGAATTAAAAAAAATTAATATAGTAATTGCAGCTGCAAAGAAAATAAACAAAGCAAAAATATAAGAAACCATGGAAGAAATATCTGGACAACAGAGAAAAATTAGAAAAAAAAGGAACTCAGGAAAGAAAGAAACAATCAACACATTTCTGAATAAACGACAACTATTACATGAAGCACAAGGGAGACTACATCCGAAAAAAAAAAAAAAAGTCTAAGGAAAAGAGTGTAGACATGTGAAAAATAAAAAATATAAATAAAATAGAAAAGAATTGCAGAGTAAATGACAGCCAAAGAAGACAGGCAACAGTGATTGAACTTATGCATAATTGGACCTCTTCCCAAACTCCAATTCATTTATCCAACTGCTTAATTCAACATGTCTACTTGGATGTCGACACCCCAAACTCTTACATATCTAAAGCTGAACTTTCCTTCCAATGAGTTCTTGCAATCTTGTCCATCTACTTTCTTGTTTCTCAAGTCAAACTTCTTGAAGTCACCTTTGACCCTTTTCATTCGTTTACATACGACATTCAATACACCAGCAAATCTCGTTGCTTCCATCTTCAAAACATATCAAGCCATTTCTCAGACTCCCACTGTTATCACCATGGTCCAAGCCATCATGATCTCAAGCTTGAATTATTGCAATAACCTTCAAATTATCTTCCTTCTCTTAACTCTTATGTCCCTGTTTTCAACAGAGCAGCCAAAGCGACCCTTTAAAATTTAAATTGGATCACATCACTTCTCTGCTAAAAACACTCAAAAGTTTTCCTACGGCACTTTAAATGTTATACTTTGAATCTGATCATTTACTCTACAGATATACTTGCACACACACAAAAGACAATTGTTGCTACATTATTTATGATAGCAAAATAAGAGAAACCAACCATGTCCATCATTAAGTGACTGTTTAAATGAACTACGGTTCAGGGAATACTTTGCAGCTTTTAAAACAAATACAGATACTGATGTTTTTGTGTAGGAGGTGATAGAACCAGGTGAGCCAACGATCTCACTGCCAACTAGGAAAAGATGAATAAATTACAAAGATCATATTTTTAAAGGCATCAGAGAATTGGGGAAATCATAAGAATTAAATGGACTAGAACTCTGCAGAGAACTGTGTACAAACAATAGGTCACCATTTATTTCCCTGGTGGTATTTGTGAATTGTGGGTATGGGCTGAAGGTCAGGACTGAAATAGGCACCTTTGAAAAATCTATAGCTAACATGATACTTAATGGTGAAATATTAAAGACATTTCCCCTAAGATTAGGAAAAAGACAAGCCTGTCTGCTCTTACCACTTCTATTCCACAATAGATTAGAGGTCCTACTGATTGTAATAACACAAGAAAAAGAAATCAAAGACATAAAGATGGGAGGGGGAAATAAATTTATCCCTTTGCAGGACATATTTTTTATATACGAAAACTCTAAGAAATCTACAAAATAACTGTTAGAACTAATATATGAATTTAACAAGGTCACAAAGTTAATCTGTCAAAAGAGCTGTATTTTTTATGTGACAGCAGAATACAATTAGAAAACAAAAGTGAAAACAATTTTATCTACAATAACCTCAAAAATATAAAATACATAAGAAAAATAATTAACAATCATGGGCAAGACCTCATCTCAAAAAACTACATGGTATTTCTGAAAGAAATTATAGCTAAATAAATGGAGACATACGGCTTTCATAGATTATAAAACCTAATATTCTCCCCCAATTTTTCTTATGATTTAACAAACTTCCAATTATAATTCCAGCAGTCTTTTTTGTAGAAACTGACAAGCAAATTTTAAAATTTATATTAAAATTCAAATTCAAATAATCTTGAATGTCAAGGCAATTACAAAAAATGTGGAAGACTTTCACTGCCTGGATTTAAAGACTTACTATAAAATTATAATATTTAAGACAGTGTAATATTAACAAAGGAATGGGCATACAAATCAAAGGACTACGATAGAAACGCTAGAAACAGATCTGCACATATATGGTCAACTAATTTATGAAAAGCTGCAAAGCTAATTCAACTAGGAAAAGAAAGTCCTTCAAGAAATAATACTGGAACAATTGGAGATCCAGATAGGGATAAAAATGAACCTCATCCCTTAACTTACACTACACAAAAAAATTCACTCAAAGTGGATCACAGACCTAAAGGTAAAATGCAAAACTATAAACTTTTCCGAAGAAAACATAAAATAATCTTTGTGGTTTTGCTTGACCTTCTCAGACAAGCTTGTAAAAACATTCTCTAAAATTATCAAAACCATGTGCCTAAAAAAGGCTATGAGAGACAAAGGAGAATTTCTTCTTAAGATATTACTTTGCATCTATCTAATGAGCAAAAGTTATGCTTCCTAGTGTGGGCCAGGATATGAAGAGCTAGGCAATCCCCTCAACTCAAAAGAAAAGACTAAGTGTATAATGTTATATCCTTTTTGCAAGGGTAACACAATAATATAAACAATTTAAATGTTCATCTTCTTTGGGAACTTCCACTTTTAGCAATTTATTCTGAGGAAACAATCAGGTAAATGCAAAAAGCACAACCACAAAATACATATGCATACACACGATAATGTTCACTGAAGCATTGGTTGAAATAAAAAAAAAATTAGCAGTATCCTATATACTATCTTTGCAAGGTATACTATATTTGAAAGATATTTTAAGGACAAAAACATCTACTGCAACGATTACTAATGTCCTTACTGTGCAGTCAAAATGGATTTCATCATCATTAAATAACACCAGCTGAAAATATAGTGCCAGCTAAATTCGTAAAGTCCAAGTTTGCAAGCAATTTTTACAACTGCCTGGTGTTAACTGTGATTTGGATACTAATTTATTATGCATCTTCATAAATTAAAAGTAACTGCATTACATTTGTCTTTCCCAATCATTACAAGCATTTATTTAATATGTATTCCGAGGATTTTTTTAAACCATGATGAAGTAACTAGCACTTAAATCTCTGCTTCCAAAAAGGCAGTTAGTTGCAAGCTGCACTGTATTTCATAAAAATATATTTCTTTTGAAAAACCTTGCATAAGACATAATTGTTGTTAGTTTAGGAATTCACAAATGACTACATCGTTTGAGGGCAGCAGGCATGTTCCCCGTGTTCTAACACTGCACTTAAGATCCAAAGAAAGAAAGTTAACGAAACATTACCTTCTCCGGTAAACCCACCTGCTAAGGCCACATACCTTGATTCTTGCTTTCTCTATAAATTCTAGAGGGGCTTTTCCAAACTCAAATCCAGCTCCAATCCAAGGAATCCAGCCCCTTATGCACGGAGGTCCCTGCAAGTTCTTCCACTGAAGGAATAACAAAAGAGCAACGCAACCTAGGATTATAACCACTGGTAGGAAAATTAGTTCCATGTTTTTGTCTAATATCTTCCAGAACCTAACGTGGCACTTGTTCGTTCCCTCTGGAATAGCGAGGACCCACCGGACCTCACAAACTTTCTGCGGCAACTTATACAGCTTCCTCGCCCTCCTAATTGTAGCCTCCTTTCCCCGCCCCAGTTTTTAGGTGACTTTCGCATCGTCGTTCCCTCCCACCTCCACTTCTCTTTCAAGTCTCGGCCAACCGGGACAGAATGCAGGGGCTGGACCTACGTCAGGGGGCGGGGGCGGAGGGGCGGAGCAGAGGAGGGTAACGAACACGCGCTGTTGCCAAGGAGACCGAGGGGGCGGAGGCTCAGCGAGCACCACGCTTGCGGCCAATCAGAGAATGCGGCCCGAGAGGCGCGGAGCCCGTGGGACTACATTTCCCAGAAGCCTCGTGGGCTTGCGCTGTTTGTTTTTTTTTTGCTCTCGGTCCTCTGGACCACTGAAGCCTCGGGCTGCTAGGAAGGCTGCGTGTTCCCGGGGCCGGCCAGGCGGAGCCGATCGAGGGAGATGGTCTCCGCCGCGCCATTCGTCGGTTGAGGAGCGGCCGCCCTGGCAGGGTGGCAGGCCAGCCGCAGCGCGGGGCGCTGGCCACAAGGCGTGCGTTGTCGTCCTGACCTGCTGCTGAATGTCGGTCCCAGGGGATGAGGAGAGGCTTTTGCCGCTCGCCCAGAGATGGCCCCGAGCGAGCAAGTTCCTACTGTCTGGCTGCGCGGCTACCGTGGCCGAGCTAGGTACCCGGTCGCCCACACCTGGGCCTCTCCAGCGAGTCCTTGAGGCGCCGCGCTGGGTGATGGTGGCGGGGAGGGAAGGACCGGCAGGCGGCTTGGTTCCCGGGTGTTGCGCCCTCTTCTTCCCCACGTGTCCGGCAGATGTGGCAGGGTGGGGGCCAGGCCAGCTTTGTGAGGAGTGACTGGAGGTCACTAAGGTCCTTGCCCTCCGATTTCGCCTCCCCCAGAGGTGTGCTGTGGTTCCCGATCGTGGAGGATTTAGAAGCTTCGTGAGCTGTCGTTCCTCAATAGGAAATCATTTTCCTTGTAATGAGGATGACCTTTTTAAAAACACAACCCACTTTTCATCCTTATTGAAATCATCTCTGCGATTTATATTCTTACACAGCCTCATTATATCACTGTCTTTTGGGTCCAAATTGTGGACCCACCTTGTGGGACTTAAGTCATTAACCTATCGCTTATTGAGCATTTATCTACTCAGCATCTGCCAGTTGACCTCTTGAGCTTAAATAGTCTGTACTGTGTTTACCTTGCAAGATTCTGAGAAGTCAGTAATATATAAATGCTAAATCCAAGAAAGGGCGCCCATTAATTATGACATTATTATAATTACTGCAATGTTAAAGACTGTGCAGATATCGTTAAAAAGACCCACCCCTGACCTTATAGGCTGGTGGGGAGACAAGGAGAGACAGACAACTACATTGTGCTTATTATAATGAAGGTATTATTAAGTATCATAACAGCGCATAGATGGACAGTTACATCTGCGTAAGCAAGTCAGGGAAAACGTAAGAGGCCACCTAGTGCAGAATGAATGATAATGACCTTGCATGAGCAGGTGGTGTTTCTTGCAAGGATTTTGAGACTAGAATGCCTGTGTGTTCCCTCTGAAACCTCCATGTGTATTTTAAGATGACCCTTTCATTTTCCGGCCTATTTAAAACAAACAAAAAGCAACAGCTCTGATGTGTTATCATTTGTAAATGTTTGTGCTGGTCTAAAATGAGTTTATTTTGTACATCCAGTGGAGCCAGCACTTGATCTGTTGTTTTGCCCTTTGCACTCCTCCACTGTTGCCCTTTGGACCCTCTACTTTTTTTCTTTCTCTTCCCAAAGCTGATGGAGAATTATTTTTGTACAATTGATCAACTTTTTAAAAAATTTAAAAGCAGATTGCTGAATGATTAGATATTTCCAGTTGTTGTTTTTTTTAACTTGATGTTTCCCACTGGGACCAAGAGCTTTTGTAAAAGAACATTCCTTTTGTTAAAAATTGGTGGAGAATTGTGTGGGTGATAGGATGGGAGGTGGAGGAACCAAAATATGAGATGGTTTTGAGTGCAAAACAATTTAGGATCAGAACCTGAAACATTATTTAGGTAACCAGCAAGAAAACCAAAATTATCTTGAGAGGTATAACCTATGCTAATATAGAGGCTCCTACATCTTAAGACTTCAGATTTCATGTTTCATTACAGCATTGCTTGAATTCTCTATATGTAAATTACTTCTGTTTTACGGAAACTATCAGCAAGATACTAACTTTTCCAAAGACCAGTGGTAATATTTACTATTCTCTTCCATTCCTGTGTTTTCTTTTGGAAAAGGCGTAGCTATGGTTTTGTATCAGTTGGTAGTCATTGAAAAGACTTACGTAATGTCAGTAATGTTCATCAACTTATCTGAATCTGGTTATTTCAGTTATTCAGGACATTGTGTGTATAAAGTTATGGGCTTGATCTTCCTAATGTGGGACAATTAGTTTCACTCAGTTTCAAGGTAAAAGGTCTGTCTCTAATTCAAAAAGTAATCATTAGAAACAAGATTTTCAAGTATAGTTGGTACTTGTAAAGAGGCCATGCATAAAACTTATCAATGCTGGAAAAACAACCCAATATGTGCCTTCATTGAAAGACTATTGAGCATGCCACCATTGTATATAAAAGATGACATTATAAATTCCATATTGCATCTTCTGTATCTCAAACATCAGGTCAGTGATTCATCTGCAGGTGAACATCACCTATGAAATTATAGAATTCAGCTTCATCCAGCATTTTTTTAAAAAGATTTTATTGGGGAATTGGGGGAGGGGAACAGCGTTAGAGAGTTGGGGAAGGGGAACAGACAGGTAGACAAATTGCTGTTTTCTTCAGTCTAGTTGTCGCTTCACTGGCCCATGTTGGTATGATCATTGAGCTCTTCCTGGGTGAGGCAATCGGTCGCCGGTCATTGGTTGGCCGCTCTCGCCTGCTGCCAGCTGCCCCTACTGGCTGCCAGTCACTCATGTAGCTCATGGCAGTCCACTGCAGCCCCGCTGGAGCCTACACCGTAGCTGGAGACTCACGGCAGCCTAGCTCCAGGTTGAGCTGTTGTTCATCATCTTAGCTGTAGAGGGCGCAGCGTCACTGGTCCTCCATGTGGGATGCGAACCGCGGCCCTGCTGCTCAGATCTGGCGCTCCCAAGCGAGCTCTTAACCAGCTGAGCCACTTGGCCAGCCCTCATCCAGCATTTTTTAAGAACTTAGCGTAAGTAGTACAGTATTTAAAAGTCACATTAATCTTAATCATGGTTCCAGTCCAGAGGACATCACAAACTATGGATACCTAAAGTTATTCCCATTGGAAAGCAAAAATTAAGGACAAAAGTTGATTTTAGACTGAAATTTCTAAATATAAAGAACCCATGGCTTGTCACTTTTTTCTCCCTGGTGATCTGTGGGTATTCTAGGACAGTGATTCATAAATTTGGGAGTACATAAGAATCAACTGATTTCTAACTCCCCATCACCATACTGAAAATTCATAGGCATGGAGCTGGAAAATCTGTAGTTTTTAACAATATCTCTCGCTGATTTTCATGTTTTCTAAAATTTGAGGACCACCCATCTTGTGACTAAAATATTAGTCCACTGATTTTAGATTTTTTGTTTGTTTCTCTGAATATTGTGGGTTTCCCCCTTGTTTTTTTGTTTTTTGTTAGCAACCTTTCCCCTCGATCTCACAAAAACTCGACTCCAAATGCAAGGAGAAGCCGCCCTTGCTCGGTTGGGAGACAGCGCAAGAGAATCTGCTCCCTATAGGGGCATGGTGCGCACAGCCCTAGGGATTGTCCAAGAGGAGGGCTTTTTAAAGCTTTGGCAAGGAGTGACACCCGCCATTTACAGACACGTAGGTATTTATCTTGATTCTGGCTGGTAAGTTTGTTATGAGTTCTGTGTTAGTCTCTTCTGCTTTTCTGTTTAGCCGTATCCAAAAAGCCAGTTAGTTTTTTCTGCTAAGGTGATAATGAATATACAGAGGGTGCCCCCCAAAAATGTATACACATTTTAAGAAAGAAAAACACTGTATTAAAATTGTAATACTCCATATATACCGATAAGAAAAGATGAATACAAGTCACATTTGACTTCTGCAATTACAAGAGGTGCTCAAAATGGTTACCATCAGCGTCATTTTAATACGGTTTTTTCCTTTCTTAAAATGCATATACTTTTTTTGGCACTGTATAGTCTCTTAAGAAGAAGAAAATTAACTCCCAATTATTATTAAGGAATTATTGCCTTAAAATTTTAGAAATGAGTACAGAAGTATTTAGCAATGAACTATCATGATGTCTGTAATGCACTTTAAAATAGTAAGCAAAAGAAATGAAGCCAATATGGCAAAAATGTTAGCAAATGATAAATATCAAATATAGATATGGAGGAAGTTATATCATTTTCTCTACTTTTCTGTGTATTTGAAAATTTTTCTAATCTTTTTAAACTTAAGAAGGAAAAAAGGAATAATTGATATTTTTCTCCACTTCAGAGACTTTAAACACAAAATTTACATTTTTTTATTTTCAAAGAAAATTAAAAAACAATGCCAAATCTCACCCATTTCTGTCCCATACATTAGAGACCAGGCTACTCTGAAAGAGAACAGGGATGACTCTCTAATCCAGCTCTGGCAATAGAGTAAATGCAAAGCAGGTGATGTTTTGCTTCAGTTCCCCAGGCTACCTAACTAGCTCTGCGGGCCTTTGGTGGCTCTTAAAGGAAAATAGTTGTAACTACATTATAGCAAATGAGAACGCTTTTGTGCTCTGCTTCGCAAGTGGCACTCAGAAAGTTAGGCGTTGTTTTCAGCTTGTGGATAGAACATAAACTTGGCTTCAAACGAAGGTAGGACAGGTGTGGCATTTTTCTCCTTTACATCCCTAATGTTTCCTCAAGTATGAAGGGATACTTGATCAGAAAACTGCCCAGTACTAATATTTACTGTTTTATTATTTTTAAAGCTTCAGTTCTTCAGATGAGTAAGTTACAGTGTATTCTTCAAGAACTATTCATCCAGAAGTATGCATAGAGACTATTATTGTTTTGCTACTGTGTATATTTTTGAATATCTTAAAATATTTCATTAAACTTCCTGAAATATCAAGAAAAACTCTATCAATATCATGTAGTGATTTTAATGGTTTTATTTTCTATCCTTTTAAAATATTTTTCTCCTTTGCTTCCCAATATTGTTTTGAATTTCACTTCTTTTCATTTATATTTTGTTGACCACCATTTTTGGTTTTACCATTAAGATTAATTTCATATATTTGATACTGGATGGAAAAATTACCGTAGTATAATAAACTATCTAATGAAGTTATACATGCTTATTGAATGAAATTGCCTGCTGTGTACCAAGCTCTGTACTAGGGCATATAGAGTAATGAAAACCTACCTTGAAAACTCATGGCCCGATGGAAAGATAAGAAAGAAAATCAAGTTAATTTCCAATCAATATGATAAATGCCTTATTAAATGTATGCCAGGGTAGTTCTCAGGGAACAGAGGAGAAACATGGCAGGTGTAAAGGAAAGCACATTAGCGCACTTTCTAGAAAACTAGTTTTCTGAGTTGAGTCTTGAAAGACTGAGGACTTAGCAAAGCAGAGACGAGAGAATCCATCCTAGTAAGATCAGACAGCATGGGAGAAGGCATGAGGCTGGAAGAGGCGTGCCACACGTGGAGAAATGTCAGGAAGTCTGTGTGTCAGAAGCATAGGGTGCACAAGAGGAAGAAAGAGCTAGAGAGGTCGGCTGGGCCAGCTCAAAATGTCCTCTCATTTTATAAAACACAAAGCTGAATTCACCTGTTTAATGATCTGTTTTACACAGTGTACTCTGGAGGTCGAATGGTCACATATGAACATCTCCGTGACGTTGTGTTTGGCAAAAGTGAAGATAAGCATTATCCCCTCTGGTAAGTTTTGTTTTGAAAATACTATGCTATTGCCCCTAAGACTTGAATATTTATCCACTAGATTTGTATAAAATTGTGCATTTGTACCAAAATTACCTCGTTATAGGCTTAAAATAAATATTTCCAATATAAATCCAAATAATTAAGCATTTACTACACATGCTATGCAAACATCCATGTACATAGGGATATATAAATTGTCTCTATATATTATTCAATATTTTAATATTAGAAGAATCCTCATGGAGCACCTTCTTTATGCCTTTTTCTCCTGAGAAATCCTGGGCTTTAGAGCCAGACAGAGAGGGGCTCAAATTCCTACTCTACTTCTGTGTAACCTGGACATTCACATATATATTATATGTTCAATTTTCTCAGATGTAGAAGTAATACCTACTGTCAGGCTTTTGTTTTCAGAGGATTAGATGAGATGATGAATGTAAACTGCTTATCACTTATAACATTTATAACAGAAACAGAGACAAGAAGGTTATTATAAATAATATACATAGAAAGCCTATAAATCAAGAAAAAGTATATAAAGAACACAAGGGAAAAATACGGAAAGGTTACCAACAGGCAATTCACAAACGAAGAAATATAAATATTCATTAAACATATAAATGTTTAAACTCACCAGTAATCAGGGAAATGAATTAAAACTGTCGTTTAGCCATTAAACTGTTAATGGGAATGTAAGTTACTATAGCCTTTTTGGAGCATAAAGTACCTATTAGAATTTTTAAATGTGTAATCCTTTGACCCAGCAACTGTGCATAAAGCCACACACACACACACACACACACACACACACACACACACACACACACAAAGATAGATTGTAGCAGTGTTGATAGTAGCAAATTTTTAAAATTTAAATGACTAATATTTGGAAGTAGACAAATTATGACATGTATTATACAGGGAAACAACACAGCTTTGAAAGAATGAGGTAAGTTTTATATAACTAACATATAAAGACACCTATCATATCTCTTCTGGGTTAAAAAAAAAAATCCAAGTCACAACTATAAGAAAAGGGCAATTAGCTGAATTTCACCTTCCAGGCAGAATCTCTTGGTCCTGGTTTTCAAAAATTGTAATGTACGGAGCTATACTAATTACTTTCCCAGGGTCAGTGATGGAATAGATTGGATTTTGGAATTCCCTTCAGAAGGGAAAGGTATAGGTAAGGAGTTCAAAGCAAGTATTTCACCCCGAAGTCAACTCTTGCGTGTACTGGCATGATGTCTTTTGTCCCAATCAGAACAATTCAGTCAGTCAGTCAGTAGGTATTTATTGAATGATTATCGTGTGCCAGTCTTGTAATTAATACTGAGAGTGTAGTAATGAAAAAGACACATCCCTGCCATCATTGATCTCACAGTAATAGAGACAGAGGCCAAAACCATTAGAATTATGTCACAGTCACAGCGGAGGTAGTGGTTATGAGATTCACAAAGAGAAAAAACAACGATAATGTACTGTGCTCATCTCTGAGGAGAAACAGCCTCTCAGAGGTTGTTGGTGGGCGTGTAAATTAATACAAGTTCTACAGAAAGCAACTTGATGGGACCTATCAAGTGTCCTGGAAATGTTCAGATTTCTTAGTGAAAAGTTATGCTGGTTTTAGGACTTATGGTGTACCCATAAAATTGAATGCTATTCCACTATTTTTTAAAATGAGGTGGCTCCCTGTGAACTGATAGGAATAAGCCTTTAAGATATATTATTAGGGGAAAAAAAATCAAAGTGCAGAACAGTATACAACCTGGCATTATCTACGTATGTGCTTTTAAAAAGGAAGATTTATAGATATGTGTTTTGGGTGCACAAACTGTCAATTGTAACTTAGTGTTTAAGACTGTGGGCTCTGCACTCTGGTGGCTTGCAATTACGTCATGGCTATACCACTCACTAGTTGTGTGATTGGAGCTGTCATTTACCCACTTTATGCCTCAGTTTCCTCATCTGTAAAGAGGAAAGAGGAAATACTAGTGTCAGGGTTGACATGAGAATTAGATTTTTTTTTAAAGATTTTATTGGGGAATCGGGGGAAGGGGAACAGACAAGTTGCTGTCATTTTGTTCTTCAGTCTAGTTGTGGAGGA